GACGCGTGCTACTTTGGTGGCTTGCCTACGCGGCTTGGAGTTTTGAGATATCATCGACCGGTGGTGGGCTGTGGGAAGAAGGGGTGGGTGTTTAATGTGGGTTCTAATGGTGGAATCGGTGATCGGCCGGTGGTTGGTGATTAAAGTGTCGGAAAACTCTATTAACGCGAAAGAGGAGGAATATTGAGTAGTGCGCTAATGGGAGTGGATTAGAATTCAATGAGTGTCAGCATTTAACAGGCGTGAAGAAATTGCTCAATTAAGTGATGCTTTCCGGGACGACTGTGGTTGTTACAATGTAGCATATGCGCGCCGGGTTTTACGACTTTTTGATGCAGTGGCTTTTGCTCTGCCGGAATATACCACAAAGTAGCGATTCAAATCAACTAGGAAGTGCTCGAATCAGACTGACCGTGAGGGATTGAGGTACCATTGGGTAGCATTTATAAATTTCAGCACAGATGTCTTGAAGAGATGATTTTCCAATAACATATTACAATTAAACTATTATTATGAACTTTCACATGTCATTTCGAGGCATGCTCTGCACTTGAAGAATTCAAATTTTCCAAGGGAAAGTATAAACAACCACCAGGACATTAGTTTTGGATATTTCTTATATCTGAGGGACGGCATTTTAATATTTGAACGATTGAAGATTTTCACAATAAGACCGGATCAAACTACAGCCTTTAGAAATATCCAAAGGAATTAGTTAAAATCCTCGATCAGCTGGAAATACTTCCTGAGCAATCTGTCGTCTTAGGAGAATATCAGAATACGCCATTTGAACTTTTGAAATGCTTACGAATCTTCAGAACCTGAAGTCTTTAAAAATGATCCGGAGAACTTTATTAAAATTTATGATCATTTGAGATCTTCGATTGAAATCTTCGATTGAAATCTTCGATTGAAATCTTCGATTGAAATCTTCGATTTAAATCTTCGATTGAAATCTTCGATTGAAATCTTCGATTGAAATCTTCGATTGAAATCTTTGATTGAAATCTTTGATTGAAATCTTCGATTGAAATCTTCGATTGACATCTTCGATTGAAATCTTCGATTGAAATCTTTGATTGAATTCTTCGCTTAAAATCTTCGATTGAAATCTTCGATTGAAATCTTCGATTGAAATCTTCGATAGTTGGGGATCTTTCAAATACTTCCTGATCTTGAATGGATATCTAATGAACATCATTTGAGAAATTTAAAATATTATTCTGAAGATTTTCAATAGTTAAAACATTTAAATGACGTCTCCAGATCAGTTGTTATAATGGGATTTATTTGGAAGATGGCAACTGATCATAATTTTGTATATAGATTGAAATCTTTGATTGAAATCTTCGATTGAAATCTTCGATTGAAATCTTCGATTGAAATCTTCGATTGAAATCTTTGATTGAAATCTTTGATTGAAATCTTCGATTGAAATCTTCGATTGAAATCTTCGATTGAAATCTTCGATTGAAATCTTCGATTGAAATCTTCGATTGTAATCTTCGATTGAAATCTTCGATTGAAATCTTCGATTGAAATCTTCGATTGAAATCTTCGATTGAAATCTTCGATTGAAATCTTCGATTGAAATCTTCGATTGAAATCTTCGATTGAAATCTTCGATTGAAATCTTCGATTGAAATCTTCGATTGAAATCTTCGATTGAAATCTTCGATTGAAATCTTCGATTGAAATCTTCAATTGAAATCTTCGATTGAAATCTTCTATTGAAATCTTCTATTGAAATCTTCGATAGCTGGGGATCTTTCAAATACTTCCTGATCTTGAATGGATATCTAATGAACATCATTTGATAAATTTTGACTAGATCTTCAGAATATTACTTCATCAGCCATTTAATTTTTCAAGAGTTTTTAATTCTCAATAATAAGCTGGAGATCATTTAAATACTTCATGGTCAACGTGTCATTTTCGGAGAAAATCTGATCAATCTACCATCTTGGGAGAATATCATAGAACGCCATTTGAACTTTTGAAATGTTCACGAATCTTCAGAACCTGAAGTCTTTATAAATGAACCAGAGAACTATATTATTATTCATAAGATTTAAATCGAAGCAATCGAATATGTTGATGAAATATTTCAATAAAGTGCTCTGATTTTTTTTCCTTGACTTAAAATATTATTCTGAAGATTTTCAACAGTTAAAACATTTAAATGACGTCTCCAGATCAGATGTTATAATGGGATTTTGTTGGAAGATGGCATAATTTTAATTTTTTTTATTATTATTTTATTTTATTAATTATATAATTCATAATTTTTTATATAGATTGAAATCTTCGATTGAAATCTTCGATTGAAATCTTCGATTGAAATCTTCGATTGAAATCTTCGATTGAAATCTTCGATTGAAATCTTCGATTGAAATCTTCGATTGAAATCTTCGATTGAAATCTTCGATTGAAATCTTCGATTGAAATCTTCGATTGAAATCTTCGATTGAAATCTTCGATTGAAATCTTCGATTGAAATCTTCGATTGAAATCTTCGATTGAAATCTTCGATTGAAATCTTCGATTGAAATCTTCGATTGAAATCTTCGATTGAAATCTTCGATTGAAATCTTCGATTGAAATCTTCGATTGAAATCTTCGATTGAAATCTTCGATTGAAATCTTCGATTGAAATCTTCGATTGAAATCTTCGATTGAAATCTTCGATTGAAATCTTCGATTGAAATCTTCGATTGAAATCTTCGATTGAAATCTTCGATTGAAATCTTCGATTGAAATCTTCGATTGAAATCTTCGATTGAAATCTTCGATTGAAATCTTCGATTGAAATCTTCGATTGAAATCTTCGATTGAAATCTTCGATTGAAATCTTCGATTGAAATCTTCGATTGAAATCTTCGATTGAAATCTTCGATTGATATCTTCGATTGAAATCTTCGATTGAAATCTTCGATTGAAATCTTCGATTGAAATCTTCGATTGAAATCTTCGATTGAAATCTTCGATTGAAATCTTCGATTGAAATCTTCGATTGAAATCTTCGATTGAAATCTTCGATTGAAATCTTCGATTGAAATCTTCGATTGAAATCTTCGATTGAAATCTTCGATTGAAATCTTCGATTGAAATCTTCGATTGAAATCTTCGATTGAAATCTTCGATTGAAATCTTCGATTGAAATCTTCGACTGAAATCTTCGCTTGAAACCTTCGATTGAAATCTTCGATTGAAATCTTCGATTGAAATCTTCGATTGAAATCTTCGATTGAAATCTTCGATTGAAATCTACGATTGAAGTCTTCGATTACTTCGATTGAAATCTTCGCTTAAAATCTTCGATAGCTGGAGATCTTACAAATACCTCATGTTATTGAATGAATATCTAATGAATATCATTTAAAATTTTACCAAGATCTTCAGAATAGTACTTCATAAGCCAATTAATTTTTCAATAGTTCTGAAATCATTCAGAGGCTTTAAGTTATATCTTATTGAAATATCAACAATGTTCTCTAAAATTATACGTGTCCTAAACTTCCATCAAGGTTCCTGTACTTCCACAAATTTTCTTGAACTTAAACTTAGTTCCATGAACTCAAACACAGCTCCCTGAACTTCTTTTCAATTCATTGAACTTATCCGAAATTCCCTGAGTCTCTATGAAATAATAAAGATCTGCGAAATCTTGGAAAGCTGTGTCCATTTGTACGAAGTTCCCTGAATTTACGAATTGTCCATTGGAAAGTACAACTGAATTTCAACGCAGATTACTGAACATGTGCGTATTTCCTATACCTCATACATTGTTATCTGGACATCTATAATGTTCCCTGAATTTCTTCCAAGGTTCATAGTTATATTTTTTCCCCCTAGCTTTCTTCATTTGACCAAGATCTCAGAACATCCATGAACAATTCCGAAGTTCCAGGAAGACCCTTAACCTTTCTATGAAGTTTCCTGATCATATTGGCAAAAGTAAGCTCCCAAAAGTTCCCGAAAGTTCCAAAAAACTCTGAAGTTTTTAGAAGTTTGCTGAAAAATATTCCTTGAGCATATACTATTATGTTAATTGCGGTGAAAACTACTTTAAACCTGGTAACTTTTACTTGATATTCTGTTTTGTTTAAAATGCTTTTCACGTAATTCGTATGTGAATTTTGAATGGGAATAATGGAACGTGTATATAGAAGTAGTCAATATTAAGCAGATATAATTTCCACGTGTTTGAATTGATACTTTTATCTGCTCATGAAATTGCAAATTATTGACTGCTTCATCATTATGAGGTAGAAATGTTTATGAGTCTTTTATTTCAGACAAAATATTAACAACAGCTAGCGGACTCAAAATGCCGATGCCACCTTCTGAAATCATAAAAATAGAAACAGGCACAGATAGCTAAACCTAATTGTAAATAAATTAATGTAAAACAACCAAATTGCCGTGCAATATTTGCAGCAAGCTGGTAGGAAATTTCAAATCTTTGAATAGTTCTTCCACCAGCGTGACGCCATTCTGATTTTTTTTGCACCCCTGGAAACTATGTAAATCTCGTTTCGTGGAAACTTCGAAGTCGCAAACACACTAACACAAATACACCTAATCTGTTTACGTGAATATACGGTCGATTTCACCAACATTTTTAGTGAGCATGACTTGTAATTCAAATCAATGTTACTAACGTCATGTAACATTTGATATTTTACATATACAGATCAGTAACGTGATATTTCACATAAAACGGACGTGAAGATTTTTTAGAGTGTAAGAATAATAAAAAATGCACCAAGAGTAGTATCGAAATCGATACAAAAAAATATGTACGTCAAGTAATCAGCGTGTTTGCTATGTGCTATGATATATTCCGAAAATGGAAGTCACGAATGCCAATCAATAAAAACTATAATCAACCCAAGGACGCTGTCGATTCTTGTTGCTCAATCAGACACATTCCTCACACATGATTAATAGCAAATCATTAACGAACCACCCTCCGTTTGCTTCTATCCCCCTTACAGACCGGCCAATGCTTCGACCCGGAAGTGTGCTGCAAGACCCAATCGCTGATCTCCGAATCGACCGTGCTCACCAATGAAGGATACGTAGTAAGAGTACCAGACAATCAATACCTTCCTCCGGAAGGTCAACAATCAGCCACAAACATTCAAACCGCACAACCACCACGACCACCCACTACACCCCGCCCACCACCACCCACTACACGTTATGTTCCACCACCCACCACAACACGTTACGTACCACCACCAACCACAACACGTTACGTACCACCTCCAACAACCACACGTTACGTGCCACCACCAACCACTACTCGCTATGTACCACCACCAACCACCACGAGGTACTTCCCCCCTCCGACCACAACGAGCCCTTCATATCGCGGTGATGAGTACATCCCACCAAGGGAAGAAATTCCAGCACCCTCCAATACCGATCCTAATGCGGTGAGACCTCCACAGGATGAAAACGAACTACCGAGCCCGGCCAACGATACACCAGCGTTCATCCGGCCGTCGCCACCACCGCGTCCGTTTCAACCACGACCAAATCAACCACCAGTCGGAGGAAATGCTCCTCCACCACTGCCACCAGTAGGATGCTCTGCCGCCATGAATTGTACCGAGCGTGAATTCTGTTCATCAACCGGTGTCATCTCCAAGACCCCCGTCGTCCTTACACCCGAGCAGGAACTGTTCCGAGTCCCCGTCACCGAATGCCGCAACCCCGAGAGGGGCTTCACCGGAGTATGCTGCCGTGATCCGGACTACGTCGATCCATGGCCAGTAGGTATGTTGGGACTGTACAACCCGGAGATCCTTCCGTTCGATGATGGCTCGTACAAACCAAATGGCAACAATGGCAACGGCAACGGCAACGGCAACGGAAACGGCATCGCAAACGGAAACAGCATTCGTAGTCAGCAGACCACTCGGAACGAAGCGATCCTAGCTTCGCCGAGTCGAGTCACTGCCGCTCAGAGCTACGGACCAAACCAAATCACCAGTGCTAGTCAAAATCAGTACACGCAATCGAAATCACAGTACGATCGTGGAGTAACAGCTGCCGCTTCGTCAACGTCCACGACTGCAATTCAGAGACAGCAAACGCAAAGCACGAGCAGCACTGCCGCGGGCAGCAGTGGAACTAAGAGGTTCACCGCAGGAGGATTGCAGTTTGTACACAGCGGAAACACCAGGTTCAAGCCATTCCAGAAGCAATCGACAGCACAGTGTGCGCCTAGGAATTATGTGAGTATTTTCGGATAGATTTCTGGGGATTTTGGGTTTTGAATTATTCTGATTTTAGAACACGCAACCACGTGGATCCGGACCATGGGATACCGGATTCGGAGAGTTCCCGTGGCAAGCTATGGTCATTCTGGAATCGAACAAGACGCTGCTCTGCGGAGGTGCTATCATCTCGGAGAATACAGTTGTGACGGCCGCTAACTGTGTCTATGGGTAAAATCGGTGTAGACAAATCTAATTTGGATTTCAGAGTTTGACGAGCTTCATTGTTTCAGACTGAACCCACGTGACATTATGATCAAGGGAGGTGAATGGCGATTGGGAGTTGATGCCGAGCCAAAGACATTCCAGATTGTGCGAGTGAAGAATGTGATCTACCACCCGGCTTATCAACCAACGACGCTGAACTACGATGTTGCCATGCTGGTGCTTGAGGATCGCCTCAGATTCGACACCCACATTGGATCGCTGTGCTTGGATGAAAGCGATGTCGTGCCAAGTGCGTCATACGAAAACTGCGTTACCACCGGTTGGGGCCGTGAAGTGCTGAAAAGTAAGTTATTCAACTTCAAAGATCTCTTCACGATGATTCACCTAACGTTCAACGTCCCTCTTCACAGTTCACATCGGAAACGCTCTGATGCATTACATGCCAATTTCGCTACTATCGGAGTCCGAAAGCCAGCGTCAGTTGCAGAGCAATGGATTCACTCCGGAATCACACATCTGCGGTCGTCCAACGGCCGATGCTTGCGATGTAGATATCGGTAGTGCGTTGGCTTGTGCTGACACCAGCGGAACGTACTATCTGAAGGGTGTCTACTCGTCGGACAATGGCTGTGGTCGACCGGATCAGATTGTGTCGTTCTCGAACATCGACGTGCAATGGATCAAACAGGCGCTGAAGAATCCCAACCAATTCATCACTCCGGTGCCAAATTACCAGACGGCAGCTAACAGTCCGGTGATCAGCACTGTTCAGCAGCCATCGACGCTGGGGCCCAACTACGGCAACGCCTATTTGCCTCCATACAAATAAACTGACAGTAGAACCCCACTGAGATATGACAGAATTTACTAAATGCTTTAGATAGAACCTATTGTAGCCGATAGTGTTGACGAAGTGACCACACAATGTTTTACCATACCTAGACATCGATATACATCCTACCGTCATTCATTTGTTTAACCTCCCAAAATCGAACCTTAAATTTAAGTATTTTTACATGCATCTTGTTGTGATTTGTACGGAAAAAAAAACATCAGAGAATCATGCGCAAATTCTTCATCAGATCAAAAATGAGCAACCTACACACTGACATTCATACTCGAACAAGGAAGTTTCGCTTAGGTAAATCTTTTATTCCTAGTGGTTAAATATAGAAATCGTGTAGAACAAAAGTCACTCTCTACCTTAGCCAAAATCGAAGATCACATATAAAGAAGACTGGTCACTCTCCGGTTTTCTCGTACGACCGCTGTATTTGACTATTCACTCTCTTTAAATTCTACGCAGTGACTGATTAGGACTGTATAGCTCTCTTTTTCTTACATGGAAATGTTACTCAGTTGCTGTTCAAAATGGAGTTTACTCAGTAAACTGAGTAGGTTCCCTTTTGATCTGCTACTGAGCCACTGTGTTGAATTGAAATCGAATGTTGGATTCTGGATAAGCTACCAGTTTTCTTTGTATGATCTCTTCGCCAATATCCTGCCCAGTTTACCCTTAACAAAAAAGAAGAAAGTTTTGCAAAAATTCGCACGAACCCTTAAAATAGACCAAACGGAAACAAATACTCCCAAAAGTATGAAACCCAACAGCACTACCACAGCCACCACCACATCATACGCCATGTACAAAGCCCCATCTTTCGCTAATGTTTAGTTTAGAACCGTTTGTTTCATGTTTTTTTTTTGGACCACTACTGACTCTAATTTTGTACCTTTCTGCTTCCCTATCCGCTCAAAATCTTGGCACAAATTTATCAATTATTCCAAAAGTAAAATATTATAATCAAAGAACGATCCAGCAAAATTGCAACTATAATTTAAAACAAAAAATGCATTTTCAAAGTGAGATATACATACAGTATTCCAAACCGGAAACGGAATAATAAATGACGGACAGGGGAAAGATTTTAAAACGGATGACGTTTTTGACTAACGACTATTAGACCGTTAGGAGTTTATGTATGTAAGGCGAAAGCAATCCCAACGTTCGGTAGGAAAGTTTTTAAACGTAAATTAGGAACGACCAAGAGAAAACAGCAGGGCCGGGATAAGATACGCATGAAGCAAAACTTTGTTGATGGATGAAGACACAGGGGAAAAAAATAAAGCGAATCGACGTACCCTACCCCCCAAAACAGTGAAACGAGTATAACGTAAAATAATAATGATATTTTTAGTATTATTTAATTACCTGTACATAAATTTACTACTGTAAGAAAATTTTATAAGAAAATAATGCAATGTTTTTGAAATCCAAGCAAAGAAACTCCAATCTGGGTGGTGCGGAAGTGATTGTCCTTGATTTTTCTGACATGTTAGGTCTCAAACAAACCTCAACCCCGGACTCAGGGTTGCTTCCACTCACTTCGCTATAAAAAAATGATTTGTAAAAAATGTTGTACTTGTAAGTTAGAAGAACGGGTTTTAAAGTATGTGCCCACCAGTTTCTAACCATTATCTTCTTTCTTGGGAGTGCGTAGTCTTCCGAAGCCCAAAGAAGGCACAATTCTCTGCCATAATGCGTCTTTGAATTTATCTGCTGGTATCATTTTTGGTGGTCACCAGTGAGCCCAAATAAACGAACTCGTCGGCCAGCTCGATTTCATTACCGTCAATCTGAACTCGAGATGGGAGACAAACAATCGTTTCTCTGAAGTTCCCTGTTTTTATGTGTGTTCCTGAAATTATCATGAAACTGTCCTGAAAACATTCAATCATCCCTGAAGTTCTTTGTGATAACTTCTCTGGGCTTATCTGAACATTCCAGAAATTCCCGGAATGTTACAGAAGTTAATGGAACTGTCTTGAATTTATCGGAGCTAACCCATACCGATTTTTAAACTTTCCATAAAGTCTGGCCTTTGCTGAAGTTCCTGAAAGATCGCTGAAATGATTGAATCGACACTTAAGGTCGCAAAAAATCCCTAACTATCTGTAGACTTAACTTCTCTGAGATACTTGCAACATTTTTAAAGATTTAAAAGTTCTTTATTCTCAGATGATTTTAAAAGATCCTACTGATCACCTGAAGCTAATGGAACCGCCTTAAAATTCATGATGCTTCCCTAAAGTTTGCACAGTCTTCAACCCGAAAAATTACTTAGTCCAGACCGTATATCGAACCCAGCCGCCTCTAGCATGGTCTTGCTTTTTTCCGTATTGGGTATTTTCATCACTGTGACCATTACTTTGATCTATTTATTTATTTATTTAGTTATTTATGACTAAACATCAACAGGCGTCATTGGCCCCAATGATGTAACCTAAACTAAACATGAAAAGTACTAAAACTAAACATCAATAAGTCAATAGTTACGGCGCCGGTGGTTTAGTGGTAAGCGTGATTACATCTCACCCCAGCAGGCCTGGGTTCAATCCCAGTCGGCGCCGCCGGCATGTTCTGAGGCATAACATCTCTGTTCACGCCTTCCTTCGGAAGGGAAGTAAAGACGTTGGTCCCCGCACGGGAAAAAAAGAGTTCCCATATTCGTGAACCACAGCCGTGAACCATAGTTCACGGTGTATAATTGAGAAAATTTTGTTCAGGATAGCTGGCCGTGATTTTTAGTTCACGGTCCGTTCCCGTTTTCGGGAACGGATTTTTTTCCGAGCGGTTCATGAGTTGATGGGTCGATAGGTAGGGTCCAGGTGTGGGAGCTGCCTTCCTGGCGTCGGTAGCATTGGTGCTCAGCACGGAAAACAAGATCGACGGAAAACAAACAAAGAAAAAAAATATATAAGTCAATAGTCACCTCGTAAAAAAGGAACATTGCTAGACAAACTAAACTGGTCTAGAAAAAACGAACTAAACCTCCGGCGAAGCAGCTGGCGAGTCAGGTCAAAGTCAGGCGCAGCATTGAACTATTCCGTAGGACTCTGGGTTGTACATTAGACTGATGCAAAATTTGACTTTTTCGCTCCACAGTGCTTAAATGGTTTCAAATCGGGTCCTGATTAGCCTCCCAAAGTTACAACTCATTTGGTTGGAAACAGACTCCGCACAAGCCATTTGAAGTTTACATGTAGATTACTATGGGAAATCTCAACTTTTTGTTCATTGTCTTCTAGTCTTTTTCCATATTGAGCTGCGAAACAGTAAGATAGCCATTCTTATAGAAAATATTCTCAGCTACAGCTTTGCTCAAGATCGTTTCTATGTAAAACGAGACATGAAAAAGTTATTAATTATTTAAAAGATTGGTAAACTTATGACATGATCAAGCAGCTGCTCTGTAGACAACACTGTATTTTGCAGTGTGACATAGTAGCCATGATTTGTGTGTCCTATTCAATGCCCCAGAAACACCAATGTTGCCTGCTGAGCAGTTGATTGAGCATGATCATAAGACATCAGCGCATTGAACAATTGATAACTTTCGATCCTTGCATTTAATCAGAAAGTGGTCTTCAGCAAAGTTGTAGCTGGAAAAATACATATACATACATACATAAAATACAATACTAGTACAGTTGAAAGATTTTGAAGCAGATCGATATGGTGAATTATTAGATAGACAAGAACAAAAATCTTGGTTTTACCATAGTAATTCTCATACAAACTTCAAATGGTTTGTGCCATCTCAGTTTCTCTCCAAATGGGTTCAAATTTTGAGAGGTTAGTCAGAATCCGATTTGAAATCGTTTAAGTACTGTGGAGCGAAAATTTTAAATTTTGCATCACTCTATTGTACATTGATGTCAATTTGCTCAAGGAGAACAGGGCAATCGGTGCGTCCTTGCAAAATATCTGCAATTAGCAATGCCCTTACTGTATCTCTTCGGACCGATAGGGGCTCCAGATGGATCAGTTGCAAACGACTTTCGTAGCTAGGCAATCGGAAGGGATCCGTCCACGGCAGTTTACGTAGCGCATATCTTAGGAACGTCGGTCGGTTGCCGGTTAATGCTGGGTAATGCACAATACAGATCCCATTGAGATCACTAGCCTCTTCCCAGCAACTCCTATCCCTACCTCCCCGTGGTACCGGCCGGGAACTGTGAGCAACCTTAGGGAAGATCGGGTAACCAACCCCGGTGGGAACTTTGGTCATAGGCTGACAGGGAAGGGTGGGGGTTTGCTTCGGCAAGCCTGAGCGTCTGTTCTCCAGGAGGAGCGGCTCACAACAACGTCTGTTCCCCATGTTAGGGCGGCTGATTTACGTCCGAGTGCCATTGAAGGACTCTAAGCACAACTGTGCACCCTGGTCCTCCGGAAAGTTAGGGGGTTGGTGTCAGGCCCTGTGAGCCAGCCGTAAAAAAGCATTGCAACGGAAAATCAGCAACAGAGGAATACGAACCGAGACCAACGGCAACGACCCCAGCGACGAAATAGGACTTGCGATTGGAAACTCGGCACGTGGAACTGTCGATCACGAAATTTCATCGGGAGCACCGTAATACTCGCCAATCTACTGAAGAACCGCGGATTCGGCATCGTAGCGCTGCAGGAGGTGTGTTGGACAGGATCCATGGTGCGAACGTTCAGAGGTAATCATACCATCTACCAGAGTTGCGGCAACACACGCGAGCTGGGCACAGCTTTCATCGTGATGGGCGAAATGCAGAAGCTCGTGATCGGTTGGTGGCCGATCGACGAAAGAATGTGCAGGTTGAGTATCAAGGGCCGATTCTTCAACATTAGCATAATCAACGTGCACAGCCCTCACTCCGGAAGCACTGATGATGACAAGGACGCATTTTACGCGCAGCTCGACCGCGAGTGCGATCGCTGCCCAAGCCACGACGTCAAGATCATCATATGAGACCTAAACGCACAGGTAGGCCAGGAGGAGGAATTCAGACCGACGATTGGAAAGTTCAGCGCCCACCAGCTGACGAACGGGAACGGCCTACGACTCATCGATTTCACCGCCTCCAAGAACATGGCCATACGTAGCACCTTCTTCTAACACAGCCCCTATCGTTACACCTGGAGATCACTACAGCAGACGGAATCGCAAATCGACCACGTTCTGATTGATGGACGGCACTTCTCCGACATTATCGACGTCAGGACTTATCGTGGCGCTAACATCGACTCTGACCACTACCTGGTGATGGTAAAACTGCGCCCAAAACTTTCCGTCATCAACAATGTACGGTACCGACGCCCGTCACGGTACAACCTAGAGCGACTGAAGCAACCGGATGTCGCCTTAGCATACGCGCAGAATCTCGAGGCAGCGTTGCCAGAGGAGGGCGAGCTTGATGTGCCCCCTCTAGAGGACTGCTGGAGTACAGTAAAAGCAGCCATCACCGACACAGCCGAGAGCACCATCGGGTACGTGGAAAGAAGTCGACGGAATGAATGGTTCGACGAGGAGTGCAGAGCGATTTTGGAGGAGAAGAACGCAGCGCGGGCGGTAATGCTGCAGCATGGAAACGTCAGTGCAGCAGAGGACAGAACTGACCCAAATCCCACGCTGAGTGAAGTTAAGGGCTCCATTCAGCAGCTCAAAAACAACAATTCAGCTGGTAAGGATGGTATCGCAGCCGAACTCATCAAGATGGGCCCAGAAAAGTTGGCCACCTGCCTGCATCGGATGATAGTCAGGATCTGGGAAACAGAACAGCTACCGGAGGAATGGAAGGAGGGGGTAATCTGCCCCATTCACAAGAAAGGCGACCATTTGGAATGTGAGAACTTCAGAGCGATTACCATCTTCACCGTACGGCAAATCACCCAGAAATGCCGTGAATACATCATTTGTTCATCGATTTCAAGGCGGCATACGACAGTATCGACCGCACAGAGCTATGGAAAATCATGGACGAGAACGGCTTTCCTGGGAAGCTGATTAGACTGATCAAAGCAACGATGGACGGTGTGCAAAACTGCGTAAGGGTTTCGGGTGAACTATCCAGTTCATTCGAATCTCGCCGGGGACTGCGACAAGGTGACGGACTCTCATGCCTACTCTTCAACATTGCTTTAGAAGGTGTAATGCGACGAGCCGGACTCAACAGCCGGGGTACGATTTTCACGAAATCCGGTCAATTTGTGTGCTTTGCGGACGACATGGACATTATCGCAAGAACATTGGCAGAACTATACACCCGCCTGAAACACGAAGCAGCAAAGGTCGAACTGGTGTTGAGTGCGTCAAAAACAAAGTACATGCTAGTAGGCGGAACCAAACATGACAGGATTCGTCTAGGAAGTAATGTCACGAGCTCGCTGCACTCTACGGCGAACCCAGCATCCAGAAGATGACCAAAGCCGGAAGGATGCGGTGG